CAGCCGCTGATCAGTTTCAGCAGCAGCTGACTTGGGGATGCCTGGGGTTCTTAAGTTGAATCTGTATGTAAGTCAGAACTGTATGTAAGTTCAGCAGCGGCTGAATCCGGACGCCAGTTCCGACTTACATACAGATTCAACTTAAGAACAAACCTACAGTCCCTATCTTGTACGCAATCCGGGGACTGCCTGTAGTCTTATCAGTTTTGAGATGCCTACATGATTAGATCTACTGCAGTCTAACACTACCCCTTTTATTATGTTTATCACCACTTAAACTGGCAGCAGACAGTTTTTTCATGGTGTCCCCTAAAATGTGGATCTTGTTCCCTGTGGACATCTATTTAAACCCATTCCTCTCCGTTTGAAGACCCAAAGGCTCTCATATGTAACTATTTATCATTCCATCTAGGAACATTCCTTCTTTCCCCATGTCACTCTGTATTTTTGATCCCACATGGGTCCGTCAGAAGTTCTGCATTCTGTTCTGTGCTTGTTTCTATGGCTGTCAGAAGCACTAAATTACTGGAAAAAATATTTGAGGACTCTTAAGCATTTAAATCACTAAAAATGCTATCCAGATGTGACTAAAATAACTTTCAAAGAAAAATATCAATGTATCAAATGGTTTGTTCATGAATAATGTAGAGAATTTTCAGCATTAGTTATTGATTATAGTATATTTGCTGAATTTTATGCATGGTTCTGTGTGAAGTATTTCAAATTCCATTTATTTCTTCTGGGAAGTTAAAATCCTTTTATTCAGAGATTGCTTTTCATGTGTCTTTGAACGGCTGTTATCATGCTATTTTAGCCTTATATCATATAAATCTTTAGCTAATTGAAATTCTACCAACTCCTCTGAAGCACTTCTGAAATTTAAGGGTTCACTTTTGCAAGGTGCTGAATGCTGCTTCTTGTGCTGAGCATGCTAATGTACCAGTTGGATTTGTCAGCTGTATGACTTTTGATCCAACAGAATTTGGCTGTCATAAAGCTGATACATTGGATTCCTTGGAGAAGGTCTGTCACACCATTCTCTCAGTGTTCCCAGACAGATGGCTCAAGGAAGAGCCTATAGAATCATCTTACCACTTACCTGCCATGGAGCTGAGAGTAGAAAGAGCAGGTTGAGGCCACTTGTATGAACATTCATGACTGGAACCTGGTATATGGGCTGTTGGCATGCTCTGTGCTCTTCTGTACACCAGATTCAGCTTCCATTTTGTTTTTGCAGATGGACGATAACCTTCGTAAGAGTCCTCAACATCCCCCACGGAAGCTGACAACACTCAAACTTACTGCAACAGGAGAAGAAAACAGTTCATTGAATCGTTTGTCACCCTGAAAGCCTGTGTTGCCATATATGTTTGTTTGCCTTCAAATAATCTCAACTTCACAGTAATTCTCTACATAAATGTGGTCTGGCAAGGGGAAGAATTCCCTAATATCATATAAAACATCCCATTTGTCTGTATTCCTATAGGAAAATGTATAGCCCAATTTGACCACACACTAAGTTGAAGATAGAGTGAATTTTTAAACAATGTACTGTATGAAATTGCCTTAACGTCTGCAGATTTTTGCCTTTTGGCACATTTGTTGACTTAGAATTCATTTTACTTTTAAGATTTTTGGTTTTATTGTAACCATGTTATAGCTTGACCAGATTGCTATACAGTAGTGTAGCTACTCAGTCATCACTTCTAGCATTTTTCTAGATTTTAGCAGATTACCAAATTCAGTTCTAAAATGAGGAAATAATGAACGATTGTCTTTGACAGCAGACAAGAACTGAAAAGCAATGAGGGATGTTTGCCATTTTTTAATGCGCTTTCACAAATAATGTATTGTGTATATCTTATATTTAAGAGTGTGTATATTTTGAGTCACATTGCATTGGTAGGAAGCACAGTGACCAAATATACTAGAACATCACCTCTGAACCTCTGTTGAGATCTGGTCTTAGTCAAACAAGTTTCTTGAGCCTACTGGATAGCCAGGCTACAGAATCACAGCACAAAGTACAGTAGAAAGATTGGAAGTGTTGGTTCAGTAAAAGCAAAAGACCAGACTACCTGGTCTGGACTTAAGTTCATTGGTTAGGGTTGTGTGAAGAGGCTTGCAGGCCTTTCTACAACAGGCCAGTCTCTAACCTGTCATCAGTGTCTCACTTTTCATAAGCACTATAATTCACCCTAAAACTAAAGCCATTTAATCTTATTCTTTGACTATCAAGTCCTTGTGAATGTCACACTGGAAACAGATTTTTCAGAATATATTCTTTATTGATTTGTTAAAGGAGATATGTGAAATTATGTTCCCTCTTAGCAGCACAGTCATTTACAGAAATCCAGATAATTCTGAAATTTTGATCTGTCAAAGATGCTTTATTAATGATATCAGATTACTGAAGATGCTCAGCCAAAATGCAAACTCTTTTCATCAAGTGTTAATTCAAGATTTAGTGTAAGAGAATGATGATTTAGATGGGTATATGTGCAAGATTACTACTAACTTCATTTGCCAAGTCCAACTAAGAAGTCTCAACATTTTTCCTCTCAATTTTTGCCATGTTCAGTATATGTAGATAAACTATTTATACAGACAAGTCTGTGGATTGTGTAAATACTGTAATTTTAGAATATTACTTTATCAGCAAGGAATGTAATCTTAACTTTAATATATCTTATTTATAAATAAAATGCTGAATTTCCAATGGATATATGGAAATAATCTTTGTTACATGTTACTTCTAAAATGTTTGTTTTAGCAATTTGAGACATACTGAAACCACACACAATAATTGAATAAGATAACTTTCATGTACGTCCCCAGGATTGTCAAATGTTTTGAAAATTTTTACTGTCTGCATCTTGACAAGGGATTTAGAATGTGATCATGTTGCATAGTTTCTCCAAAGTTCTTTCATAATCTAACAAGCATGTAATTGAGAAGAAAAGTATAACTTGGTTAGTTTATTTTCTGAATACGTGCTTGCCCTTTAAAACCTTATTTTGTAAAATAGTTGCATTCTTGCACTGAAATTAAAGGAGTTTTTGAAGCACATCTTATCCAGAACTAAAAGTTTGTATTTGAGGCTAAGTTTCTTATGGAGGTGTTTGAATATATGAAGCACTTCTACAGAATGATGAAAGGGAAGCTTAATTATCACTTGGGTAGAATAAGGAGGACCAAGAGGTGGATTTGTATATTACATCATAGATTGTTTAAATTTAAATAATCTTTTTCGAATAACTTAATTTTTATATTAAATATTTTATAAAGGCTCCTCCAATCTAATTAAATGAGTACTATTTTGTTGTTGGCCAGACTACAATCAAGCCCCATTTAGTCTTAATCTATCAGTTAGTTAATATTAAGTGATTTTATTTAGTCGCTACTCTCATTCCAGTCAGTGGATATATCATTGTTAAATCTTTTGTGCAGTCCAATATTTAAGCAATGTAACTCTCATGTAAAAATATGCTTCTTTATGTGGAAATCTTAACCTCTGGTCTCAAGACAGATACCGGATTATGTGTGTGCTATACTCCAGTGATGAGCAGTTTGCTGAATCAGTTGTGTCATTTAGTGATTGTCTCAGGCTCAGTCTGAGAATGAAAATGAGTAGGCCTATCAAGTCAGCATGCAGTTTTGTGTGAGCTAAGGTATATGGTTTGGTGTGGATGTCAAATGTTTAAATATAGTTTGTACATGTAAGTCCTTTCAAAAAAAAAAATAAAGCAAACTTTCCTGTAACTAACTTTATTTTAGTTGCAGGGACATTTTTAATAGCATAAAGAATAAAATTAGAAGTATAAAGAATGCGCTGCAGTAAATGTGCTCTGTTTTTTCTATTTTTTTTCTATTTTTTCTGAGAATCTTAGTGGGGTAGGATATGTTCTTAAAAATAATTGCGTTTTTATAAAGTTACAACACATATGCCAAAATGGCTTAGGATTATATTAAGAAAACCACTCAAATTATTTGATTTCTGGTTAAAATACTTTTCCAGACTCATAAAATATGTACCTCTTGTACTCAACGTTATTATTTTTGGCATTCCAGGGGAAACCATTTATAGTGGTATTTCTCATACATAACATTAATCGATTTTTTTTCTGTTATATTTAAATCTTGTTGCTGTAGATCAAATGCTCAGCTGGTAT